TTAAATGGGTCAAATTAGTTTCATCATTGTTAATTCCACATAGGAAAAGTTAAGATTTAGAAAAGTAATTTGAAATATGTAAATCATTAAGTAGGTCAGCAGGGAGAAAACTGATCTGGAGCTCATGAAAAGGGCCTATAAAGACTCACATCCCAATTAAAATGAACTTTGGGTAAAGTTGGGTAGACACCTTGACAGGCCCATTAAAAAACCCACAATTTTTCAAACCATCAACCCATAAAAGCACAGTTTGAAAGAAAAGTTTTTCCTTTCCTTTTTCCCTGGCTTTGCTATATAAGCTAAAATATTGCACAAAGTATTGCTATATTTCCACGACACAGAAATATTTTTTTGGGCTGGGGGGTTATCGTGTTTGATGTAAATTCATTTTTTACAAGTAGTTTTTATTTAGACAGAATATCAATAAAGACTAATTATTGTAAGTTATTTTTAGCTTTCTTACAGACTGTTTATGTCTTTTTAATATGTAAGTAGAAGATTAGTGCTAGGAAGCGTGAATTTTTAGTGGTTAGGTAATTCAATTTTGAGATGGAATTTAGGACCAGAGATTGAGAATAATAGATTCCTTCATTAATGGAGATGACTTATAATATTAGACCAGAAGCTTTAAGACTGTCTATTTCCATCAATTGTGGAACCAGGGCTACTGGATCATTTAATATGTGGAAACAGGCTTTGAGACATACACATCATTCTCACAGGCACAGATTATACAGAATATAAGTGATATAAGAAACAATGTTCCCACCACTAATAAAACACACAAAATATGAATTAGCTGGTGTGGGAACCAAACAGAGCTTCCCCAAGGGACCTTTCCAGTAGGTACCCCAACATAAAACAAACAAATATACAAGGATACAGCTGACATCTAAAACAAAAAAAGGTATAACATAGTGTGATATTGTTAAAACACACTCCCACACAAAAAAGAATTGGACTCACAGAGGTATAGATCAAAGAGGGTGCTCTAAAATTATTACTCTGAAATGAGAATTACCAGGAATTGAAAGTAAATTTCAAATTTAAGGCCGAAATACCCAAACTGAAAGCATAGCTAATTTGAACTTCTCCACTTTGGTATTTTTGACTGCATATATCAGCACTTTATTTGCAATCTACCAGTCAGTTCTCTGAGATTGACTGGAAGGTTGCAATCAATATTTGACCACCCTAGTCCAGAGGATTTTGCTGCCACACGCACTTCAAGATTTAAAAAAAATAATATGGCATAATTTACTGTACGTTCTAAAGAATTTCCAATGTTTACTGTGTCAGAGAACATTAAAACATATTGAATTGGTTAATATAAGGCTCCAAATCAGACTGAATATTAACCCTTAATACTTTCCCAGCCATAGACCTTAAGCTCACAGGTCCATAATTTTCAGGCAATTTTTTTTTTAACTCTTTTTGAATAAAGGAACCACATCTGACTTCCTCTAATCTTTGGTGCAATTCCTGAAAGAAAAACCTCCGGAGATGTGTTTACATTAACTTTATTTATTTGCTGCAGCACCTTGTCTTGAGTCATCCAATTAAATTTTATCTACAACTATTCTGCAGCAATCATTTACATATCTCTTGCCATAAGAGCCTCCTTAATATATACGGAGGAAAAATAGTTATTTAAAATGCCTGCCTTTTCCTGGTTTTCTTTAAATAAAACACCCGTTTCTGTTTTCAGTGTACCAACATTTTCATTTTTTTATTGAATTTATGTACTTTAAAAATGTTTTGGGGTTGGTTTTGCTTTCATTGGATATCACTTTTGAATTTTCTCGTTTAGCCACTCAAATTGCCTTTTTTCGTGCATTATTGGCTTTCTCATACATAGCTTTTCTTATCTAGGATGCCTCTGATTTGTCCGATTTAACTCAGCAGCAGCCGCAGCAGGATTTATGAAAGTTATGGAGATAGTGTGCAAGCAGACTAAGCATAAATTTAGAGAAATCGAGGTTGTGGATTTCAGATTTACAAAGAGATGAAAAACAGGTTAAGAGTCAAGGGACTCAGAAGTCAGAATAAACAAGCAACAAAGCCATGTCAAAACCAGAAATAATTAGAAACACACTCTCAATTAAGACCCCAACAAGACATTGAAGAAACCATGGAGTGATCTTATATAACCCTTGAATATAAGTCCAGAAAGGATTCCTGTTGGATGGCATCATAATTGTGATGCCAAGATGTATATGAACAATGTCACTGAAATAATGCCACCATCTAAGGCTCCAACAAAAGACTCAAGTTAGGATGACTATTAGGAACCACAGTAGTGGAGGGTTCCTCATTGAATGGCACACAGCATCAATATGTGTACCACAGGTGGAGGAGCCATGCAAACATAAGATAAGAATTTGATCAAGCTCAGAAACATTTAGCCCTACTATTTATTTGCCATCATGTTGGAAAGAGCTTCCTGCCTATAACTCTCACACTATTGAATGTGTATGTCCTAGTGCTAACAAAGTAGTAAATAAACCCTAATCCTTACTTCAACATTAACTGTAAACTCTTAACACTAACATTACTGTACTATAAGATATAAAAATAGCAAAACATGTGTTAAAGAGTTACTCCAAGCAGGGCTGGCTTTAGGGGTGTGCGAGCTGTGCAGCCGCACAGGGCGTCATAGCAACAGGGGTGCTGGGAGGCCGACATAGCTCACACTCAGTCACTCACAGGTCGGCCCGAGTCATGTGTCTGCAGTGCAAAGCAAGTCAAGTGCATAGTTCTGTGCACTTGACTTCCAAATTATGAGGATAGAGGAGGTCAGGAGCACGGAGGAGGAGTGTGCTCTGCCTTCACAGTCATTCGCGGAAGGATCCGCACAGTGAGTGTGAGGGAGGAGGTCAGTGCTTTGAAATCAAAGTCTGCAGATAGGGACACTGTCAGGAGGGTACAGGAAGCAGCAAGCTTTAATGTAGCCCATGGATCAGCGCAGCTAAGAGGAATAGGCCTTGACAGAGCCAGGAGGTAGGCATAGCAACTACAGGAAGTTAGTGACAGCTAGCATGCTGGGTAGGGCGGAACCATTTATACCAGCCATTATATGAAGTGGCCATTTTAATTGAACCTAAGCTTACCTGTCAGTTGTGAAAGCTGCCTGCCCTGGAGGGAGAAGACAGCAGCATGGAGGCAGCATAACAGAACAGAGCAGTATTGAGGCAGGAGGTAGCATGGAGGTACAGGAGAGGCTGGAGTGAGCTGCTGCTGCATGCTCACTCCCATCAGCCACAGACAGAACTCCAAGCAAGCCACAATCCTGGACACAAAGGTCGTGGCAGAAATCGTTGGCTGGTGCCTGCAGGAGCAGCTGGGGGGCCCCGAGCACGTCTGCCCCCCCCCCCCGCGCGCGCAACGACAGAACGGAGGCCGGCAAGGAGAGCGAGGCCGCCCCAGCAGCAGCCCGGGAGTGACATCGGCAGTTCGGCGGCACAAGAGCCTGTCAGGAGGCAGCAAGGGGACAGCTTACAACAAGGTCGGAAAGCAGGCGGGAGTTGGAGGGCAGCCGGCAACGTCGGTTCGACGCAGAACCCATCAGGCAAGGTGGCAGGCCATGATGAGGCCGCACAGGAAGAGCACCTCCTGCCGTAAGGCGGGGGGGGGGGTGGGAAAGCACGAAGGACAGTGGAATCCAGCATGACATGATGGCCGCCGGGCATGGAGAGCGGCAAGAGGCATCCTGGTGAGTCTGCCCCTGGTGGCATACCTGAGGGACGGGAGGAATGATGCAAGTGGCCAGCAGTGTAAAAGCAGTCCCGCCCCCAATGGGCAGGTGGGGGGGTCCAGGTCGGCGGACTGAGGCGGCCCTGGATGGGGCAAGGGTCAGGTCAGAGGTGAAGGAAGGGGATAGTGAAAGCAGCAGGCAGTCTTCACAGGCGCAGCAGAGCAGCTATGGAAGGGAAGGCCAGCAACCAAGATTAATTAAAGTGGCCACAAGTGAATGAGGTGGCCAGGGAGAGGCCAGGTACTGCAAGCAGAGGGCAGAAGAGAGGACGTAAGGGACAGAGGCAAGCGGAAGCCCCCTGAGGGGCATTCTCAGGAGCAGGAACACAGGAGGAGCGTCAGCAGGTGTGAGTACAGGAGGAAGCAGCGCAGGGACAATGACAGGCACAGCGGCAGCAGGAGGTCGGATGAGGGATGTAGGAGCAGGTGAGGAGCCTGTCAAGAAGTCGGTGTGGTAGGAGGAGGTCTCAGTGCAGCGCTTCAGCTTAATCTGGCAGGATTTCACTAGGGCAGAGGCATGACATCTGCGGCCAGGAAGTTCAGGCAGCAAGAAGGAGCAGAGATTAGGACGACAGAACAGAGTGCAGGGAGGAAGGGCTGGTAAGGCTTTATCAGAACAGACTACCCAGGTTATCTTCTCCCAGCAGGTCGAGGAGTGTTACTCCTACGGGCTTGAGGCGGGAACAGCACGGACAGGAGTCGGCTTCCAGAGCCTGGCAAGGTGGACGGAAGTACAGCGCAGACAGGGGTTCGGGTGGTGAGTCAATAAACACACCACACTTTTTAAATGGCAAAAATCATTTTAGAGTCATGATCAAAGAAAAAAGTGGCCGTCGCCGCGGTGCAGAAGGGTGGGGTCACCGGAGGGCGGTCAGGAGGCAGAAGTTAGGGTGGTGGTGACGGCATGCCGGGTAAAGGAAGGGGAATACGGTGTACCGGTACCGGGGACATTCGACGGGGCAGGAGACCAGTTAGATGTGTGACAATATTCCAGGCGCGGTGCGACGAAATGGGCACGTGTCCTTCGCGGGGACATTGGGGGTCACTTGAAGGCGGAGGATAAGATTTGCTTAACCCCTTAAGGACCTGGTTGGCGGAAGGTAGGGGCTGGTTACTTGGCTCGCGCACAAAGGGACAAGCTGCGAATGGCGGCCCCAGGGGGCGCAGGAGAAGGGACAGGCCGGTCTGGAAGAAATGTGGCAGCTCGAGAAGCCATGAAGGATCGATACGGAATCCTATGGCACCGGGCATTATTTGCATGTGAAGGTTTGGGATTTGTGGGACCAGGCAGTTGGTTTCACTGGGGGGTCCCAGTCAAAGGAGGGGCGAAGGGATACCTTGCTGTGGTTCCTAAGCCACTTGTTCATTCAGCGTTAGCTCCAGCGGCAATGGACAGGGTTCAAACTGACCGATTTGGAGAAAGCGATGGAACGTTGTCACGTCCGTCAGGCATCTCGGGTCTTACAGAGAGGTATGAAATACATATAAATGTCGGTGCCGGGCGGCTGGTTTCCTTGGGTAATTCAATGCCTGGTAGTGTGCTACTCTACTTTTGCAGTGAGTTTGTTTGCGGTGGCCTTCTCGGGGGCTTGGAGCAATTCGGACTGGGGAGCTGGTGAGTGCCTTTCGGGTGGGTGTTGGGGGGTTCTACACTCGGTTGTTGAAACTCAGTCGGTTAAGGTAACGATTCGGTAGGGTTGTACAAGAACGGATGTATCTGGTAAAGGAGGTTTGGTAAAGCTATATTCCTGCTGGGGTCAGGGGTATGCACGGCGTCAAGCGCACTTGGAGTTTCGCCCGGACATCCGGGGTGGCTTATTGGTAAAAGGGGATGGATCGGCGCTGTCATGATTCAATTCCCACAGGGGTTTGTTCGGAGGGGTTTGACAATGTTGGGTTTGGATCCTGGGCACTTTGGGGCCCATTCTTCCCGGATAATGGCGGCGACAGAGGCGACCATCTGGTTTTAAGTGAGGACCCGGGGAAACATTTAGGCAGGTGGGAGTCAGTACGGTTTAAGTCCTGTTTATGGACGGTCTATTTGGTTTAAAGTCGGTCCTCTCACACCTCACCCCTCTGTCAGTCCTTATATTGGCTCCCTGTATGCTATAGGAGTCAATTCAAAGTGCTAACCCATACATTTAAAGCACTGAACATTTCTAGCCCCTCTTATATCTCTTCACTAATCCATAGATATGCCCCTCCTCGTACCCTCCGCTCTGCCCGTGACCACTTCCTGACCGCTGCTCGCACCCGTACGGCCAACTCGCGCTTGCAGGCCCTCTCGCGGGCGGCTCCTCTCCTATGGAATAGCTTGCCTACTGCCATCAGACTCTCCCCTAGTCTTCAATCATTTAAGAAGGGCCTTAAAACCCATCTCTTCAGGAAAGCTTATGGCCTCCCAGAGTAATCTCTACCTTACATACCTGTCTCCTGCTCTCTCCTATGGGACAGTGCTTTGCTCTCTCCTCCAGCTCTGCTTCACTCCTACTTGATATTTCCTGTCCTAATGTTTCTAATACCCCACCTCCTATAGTCTGTAAGCTCGTTTGAGCAGGGTCCTCTTCAACCTATTGTTCCTGTAAGTTTTCTTGTAATTGTCCTATTTATTGTTACATCCCCCCTCTCAAAATATTGTAAAGCACTACGGAATCTGTTGGCGCTATATAAATGGCGATAATAATAATAATAATGGCTATGGACGTATGGGTTTGTGTTTGGGGCTATGCCTTGTCGCTAATTACTTTCGTTTCAGGTTTGGTGACATGGTTGGTGGGCCACTCTTACATCTAAGGGGCGCAGAAGGGAGCTGCGGTTCGGGTCAAGTGCAACTGGGCTTTCCTTTGGAATTGGTGGAGCTGGAGTGGTTTTGGTTTTCGGGGGTTTTGGTGGCAAGGCATTAGTGGAGAAAATTTTCCAGAAGGTAACAAGGGGTACTGTCCAGGACATTCTGGTAATCCGCGAGGGCGGGAAGAATATCGACATGGTCCCGGAAAAGGAATTGATGGGGAGGTGGACCGGCTATGGGAGCTGGCCACAGGTGTGGTGGTGGTGCGGTCCGAGATGGTTCTTCGGTTACATTGGAGACATACTAAGTACACGGCCGCCGTGGCTCGGTGTCGAGGACGAATTAATAAAAAAATTGATGGCGGTATTTATCAGATGTGGGGGCAGTGTAACAATGAGACACAACAAATTGGGAGGCAAGTAATCCAGGGGGGATGGGGTACGTTTTCGGATGTAAGGTGTGATCTGTTTAAAGTGGGCCTTCAGGAAGGCATCCAACAGGCCTTATTCCGGTGTGATGGGGGTCGCTCAGGAGCTTTAGGTGTCAAGTCCTGAGCTGTGGTGGGGAATGGCCTGGTTAAATCGGAGGGTAGATGGAGGAGAAAGTGGGCATCCTGAGGTTTATTGTGGATTGGGCAGTGTTGCATGTGGTTGGTAGGTTCGAGCACGTCGGTGGCTCCGAACCTGGGGGTGTGGTGGTGTCTTGGTACACCCTACACTGGAACTAGTGGGTAACGTTGTCTCGATACACCCTACAATTTGACCTTGTGGAAATGTGGTCATTTTGGGCGGCCAGTTTCTGTATTAACATGTTATTTAGATTGTTATCTATTGTTATTATTGTGGGGTCATTGCTAGGGGTATGTTATGTATATGGGGGGGGTGTTAACTTTAATAAGATTTGTTGGTAATGACCCCATTTGGTAATCCTTAATTATTTTATTATTAATTTAATAAAGCTGTGGACTGATTATTTCCAACAGTTTAACCTGTGTTCGTGTTTTAATGGGGGTTTGGGTAAGGTTAGCGCATATGCCGGCAAATCCGACTGTGCACCTGTCATGTGAGTCTGCTTATTCTAGTTGTTTACTATTGCTTTTTATTAAATAGAACAAAAATTTCTTTTTTTTTAAGGCTGTCAGGTGTTTTTGTGTGTGTGGGGGGGGGGTTGCAGAAGGGAGAGTAGAGGTTTTATAGCTGGGATTTTAAGGAAGGGGTTTTGTAAATGGGGGAGGGATTTTGGTTTAGGGAGGAGCAGAAGTTTTATAGAAGGGGAATAAGGGTTTTGGTGTAGGTAAGGGGTTTTGTAAAAAGGGGATAGGGGTTTTGGTGTAGGGGAAGGGTTTTGTAGAAGAGGGGGCAGGAGTTTCTGGTGAAGGGGCAGGGGAAAGGATTTTGTTGAAGGGGCAGGGGCTTTGTGGAGGGGGTATGGTTTTCTTGAAATGGGAGCAGGGGGTTTGGAGAGGGGGCAGGGGTTTAGTATAAGGGAGTCAGGGGTTGGGTATAAGGGGAGCACGGGTTTATGTAGAATGAGTGCAGGGCTTTTGCAGAGGGTGGCAGTGGTTTTGGTGGAGGGGGAAGGGGAAGGTTTTAAGTGAAGGGCGGGCATCTGTTTTGTTAAAGGGGGAGAAGGAACTTTGTAGAAGGGGGTGCAGGGGTTTTGTAGAAGGGGCAGGGGTTTTGTAAAAATGGGGGGCAGGGTTTTGGTAGAAAGGGGGGCAGGGGTTTTGTGGAAAGGTTTTGTAGTAGGCGGAACAGGGTTATTGTAGAAGGTGCAGGGGTTTTGCTGAAGGGGGGGGTGCTCCTCGAGATTGGGCTCGCACAGGGCGCCTGATCACCTAAGGCCGGCCGTGACTCCAATTATCATAACATCATAACATCTAGCACCATTTTCAAGTAATGGGGCAAACCATTTTACATTGTAAAATGGTTTACCACATTACCTGGGTCATCTCATTCTGCAGCTTTATAGATGCCCTGTGACAATAGTAGCTTTCTCTAAAGCTGCAGAAGCTGGATGTTGATTGCTGGCTATTCATTGGCTGCTAGTATCAGCTGACCACACTCTGGCCAATGAACGCAACTATTTGCATAAATATCTGTGTAGTTTTACCATTAGCTAGCAAACTCTTGTTCCAGGGTGGCTAATGATGCCCTAGTCATGCCCTAGTCAAGTGGGGTGAATGAGAGTCAAACCTTCATCAGCAGAGATGTTAAACTCTGTATATGCAGCAAAACACTGTACATTTGGACTACAGGCACCATAAGTACTTTAAATATCTGAAGTGGTCATGGTGCTTGAAATAATCATTTGAAGTGAAACTGTGAATTTACACAAATTAATGCAAAAATTAATATCACTATAGCAATTGCTAACGTTCTTTATAATTCTCTGGTTATTGATTATATATTACTATCATACTATTATATCAATATATACTATTGATACAGAACACACAGCACAAGGTAACAAGCTCCAAAACAGAGTTCACAAAAACAGAAGTTGACAAAAGAAAAAGTACAATCAAATATAAAAAGTTCCTCATAAAAATGGCACTTAGTCAGTATCATATAGTTGTAAGAATCTAGGAGGTTGTGTAGAGATTTCCTAAAATCAGACCTTTACATATGTCACAGCTATAGATCTCTAGAGTACGCAACTTTACCCATCCAAGAAGCAGTGATTACACCAGATTCATAGTATAAAGTCCAGAGACAATACATGAGGTATTATCTATATTATATCCAGAGATACATTATAAACCAAAGGAAGTAAAGAACAGGTAACGTATGACTTAAAACATAAACTAAGTCATTGTCCAGTTAAGACCTACAAAGGAGAATAAGAACAATGAAGCCCAATAAAGAAAGGAGGACACTCTTTAGAGAGATAATAATAGAAACTATGAAGAAGTGAAGAAAAGAAAGAAAATATGAAGAGTTATAGAGATGGTGAATAATGAAAGTTGAAAAAAAGAGATAAGAAAAAAAATAAGAAAAAGTATTACAAAAAAGGGAAAAAAGGAGAACCCTCTGAATAATTGCTGTATCTGTTGGGGGGGAGAGCACACTGGAGGGTACCTGGGAGCAGGGACGTATTAGCCGTGAGACAAACAAGGCATTTGCCTTGGGCAGCATTTTCCAGGGGGCGGCAAAAAAAGCCACCCCCAAAAGCCCAGGGAAAATGTCTTGTTAGCCTTGTGGCTAACTAACAATCCGGGCGGGCTAATGGGCTGCTGGGCTGGCTGCTGGGCGGGCTAATCAGCCGCTGCTGGGCGGGCAGCGCTGGCAAGGGAGCACTTTCCCCTGAGCTGTCAGCTGCCTCGCGCGCCGCAGAGTGATGCGGCACACAAGGGAGCTGAGCAGACAGGGAGTGTGAGTGTGTGTGTCTGTCAGGGAGGGTGTCTGTTAGGGAGTGTGTTACTATGTGTGTGTCTGTTAGTGACAGTGTATGTGTGTCTGTTAGTGAATTTGTGTGTGTGCTAGTGACTATGTCTGTTAGTGAGTGTGTATGTCTGTTAGCTAGTGTATGCGTGTCTGTTAGCGAATGTGTGTGTATTTAGAAAGAGGGGGGAGGCGCCTGAGTTTTGTCATGCCTAGGACAGCACAAAACCAGGATACACGTAAAATGTACGTAAAGTGTCTTGGAACCATAGCTTCCACATTTTATGCAAACGTTTAGTGGAATCAT